AAACATAAACACATGTGGGAGAAATGAGTTATACACAATCTTACTACATTGCTCTGAAGGATTAAACATGTTTGGAAATAATTAATATTATTTTAAAATTTGTTAATAAATATCATTCTTATCGACCGTAGATATCAGAAACAAAGGCAAGGAAAAGGTTTCTCCATACAAATAATACTGATTTCATTCTGGATCCTAACCTTCGAAATTCAGAACATTTCTGATATCATTCAACATCGCACATTACTGCTAGTCTAGTAGGACATGGGCTGTTCTCTGCTTAAGTGGGTACTGCACAACTCAAGGCCTTATCTCACCCTACTAAACTAGCTGCATTTCTTTCAAATTGGAGGAGTTGCTACTGATCTTAACATTAATAAACTTAAAATGGCTCAAATTCAATTCATCTCCCAATGTTGCAAAATCCATAACTATACCCTCAATCCATATGGAATTTCAAACAAATATACAATACCTGTTGGAGTAATGACAACAATGCACATCTACTATCTGCATCAGAACCCTGATCAACTGATCATAGTTAGTTACTGAGGTAGGTTATATGCAATCTAGTCTGTTACTTACATAATATCTTTACAGAAAGAATCCATGGTCACTGTACCTAGATGGTCACAAGTGTTAACATACTAAGGCCCTACATTATTCTTCAAGTGAGTCCCTTCGTGTGATGACGACTTGGAGACCATTTTCTGGTTTTAGAATCAGATCTGCTGTCAAATTTATGTCCTCTCTCTTGACAAGGGAACGCAGTTCGTAGTGACATAGGAAATAGGATAGCACCGTCTTCTCCTCCAGCAGGGCGAACTTCTGTTCTATGCATTTCCTGGGACCAGCACTGAAGGGGATGTAGGCGTAGGGGTGCCTTTTTGCTACCCTCCCCAGCAGGAAGACGTTAGGCTCAAAATTCTGGGGGTTGGGGAACTGATCAGGGTTCTGATGCAGATAGTAGATGTGCATTGTTGTCATTACTCCAGCAGGTATTGTGTATTTGTTTGAAATTCCATATGGATTGAGGGTATAGTTATGGATTTTGCAACATTGGGAGATGAATTGAATTTGAGCCATTTTAAGTTTATTAATGTTAAGATCAGTAGCAACTCCTCCAATTTGAAAGAAATGCAGCTAGTTTAGTAGGGTGAGATAAGGCCTTGAGTTGTGCAGTACCCACTTAAGCAGAGAACAGCCCATGTCCTACTAGACTAGCAGTAATGTGCGATGTTGAATGATATCAGAAATGTTCTGAATTTCGAAGGTTAGGATCCAGAATGAAATCAGTATTATTTGTATGGAGAAACCTTTTCCTTGCCTTTGTTTCTGATATCTACGGTCGATAAGAATGATATTTATTAACAAATTTTAAAATAATATTAATTATTTCCAAACATGTTTAATCCTTCAGAGCAATGTAGTAAGATTGTGTATAACTCATTTCTCCCACATGTGTTTATGTTT